GGCGGAATATTACGGCGGGGGAGGCGCCGAGACGCGGCCCCGGAGCCTGGCCCTGGAAGAGAAGGACCCCCGGCCTCAGCCCCCCGGGCACCAGCCAGGGCAGCAGCCCGGAGCCGCCGGGGCCGGAGGAGCTTTGGACTCGGTCTCGCTCAGCAGCAGCTTGGATAGTGGCATGAGGACCCCGCAGTGCCGGATTTGCTTCCAGGGACCCGAGCAGGTCAGCGGTGGGCATCGGAGGTGGGCAGGAGAGCGTTGGGGTGGGGAGGCAGGGGGTGATTAGGAGGGCCTAGGCTAAGAAAGGTGGGGTGTGGCTGGACAATGGGGAAGAATTTCTCACACCTGGTGACCCCGGCAGGTGGGAGTGCTGCTGCCCAGGTGGTGGGGTGCCAGGTGGTGGGGAATGCCAGGTGATCTGGGCACCAGGAGAAGATGAACAAGGAGGACAGACTTGACCAGCGTGCCTGGGACGTGCCAACTTATTATCGGATACTTAGGATGCCAGAGTTTCCTACCCAGTTGCTTGCTTCTCGCTTAGCAGGATTATGGGTTCTGGTGATTTGGGTACAAGAGGAAGGGGTTGTGGGGGAAGAAAGGCCAGGTGGTGAGGGGGCAACTGGGCCATGGCAGTTTTGAGCCAAGAAGAGAGAAAGACCATCACGGGTCAAAGTGCGGGCCTAGCCCTCTGCTTTGCAACCTGTCTTCCCGGACGCTCGGGGCATAGGAGGGCAGAGAGCGTGCCAAAGAGACTGGATGTCAAATGGACCCTGGGCTCCCTTGGCACCTTCAGGACCAAGGGGTGGAGGGCCAGGCCCACTTCTTTATCCTTTTAACTTCCAGAATGTCAGATCCTTAGAGAGATATTTGAGATTACAAAGTTGTAGGCGCCAAAGCTGCTTCTGATCCTTATTTGGGGTGCCGGGAGGCACCATGGGATGAATGGTGATCCATTCATAACACAGAGCAGACAGACCGTTTCTCAGGTGGTGTCCTCTTAGGGCATGCTGGGTGCCCAGGTGATGACCCTTCTTGGGAATCCGTGGGAAAACGGCTTGCCTTTAGAGGAATTTTCTCCATCTGCCTCCTCCCTCATCCAGGATCTGTGCCTGCATGCATCCAGGAAGAGTAGCCCATAAAGGGAGTTGAATTGGACTTAGATTCTGGGCTTGCACACCTGGGGGTGGCTTCTGTGACCAACTGGCTGTGTTATACCTCGTTAACAGGTGAGAGGAGTGTGCCACTTGCAGAGGCGTGTGGCTTGCTTTGGCATGGGAAGGAGGTGAAGGGAGGGTCCTTTGAAGCCACAAGCCAGGCCGTTGTTTGTGTGAGCCATCCGTGTCGGCTGCTGGATAAACTGGAACAGATTGCACCTTCTGAGCGGGCTGGACAAGAGCCTGAGGCTGCAATCTGAAGCTCAGTCACCTCGGAGTAAGCTCTGCTTAGTAGTAAGGTTTCCTTTGGCAGTAAGCATGCCCAGGCTGTGGTGCCCTGTTTGCTTCTGCCAAGAGGGTGTCTTCAGGAATTCCTCTCTTCCGTGCCCCCCCCCCGCCCCAAGCAGCTGCCTTCAGATGTGCCAGAAGGATGGGGTTTAAAGACAAAGAAGGCAAATTCTCCTTCGAATAGTGCCGAGAAGGCAGAAGGCGAAGTGGGTTTGGGGTGGAGGGGAGGGGGGGAAGTTGGGGGGT